TCTTATAAGAAATAAAATATGATTGGAAATAAGATAATGTGCTCCACAAAGTTTAACATGTCTCCATACAATTGTTATGGGCATCTGTAAGAGATCGCAACACTCTACAAACATATAGAATCTCAAAGTGCTGAATAATAGTCATAATTGTTCTCTATTAAAGTTGCTGTTCGTGATAAGATTTATTTTTTAATAAGTTTTAATGATGTGCATTAGCCCATTGAATTCAAATTTTGTCCATATAATATGAAATTTTGGAAGATTTTATGCCACAAAAATATAACTTTTTGTTACCTTATTATTTAGACTTTAACAATTTAGCAATTTGTGTGTGTGTTTGTGATTTTAAGAATTTGAAAACTAAGCGGCCCAAAACATTTTTAAAGAAAGAGAAATAAGAGAGAAGTAAACTTCCTTCATCAAGGAAAACAAATAAATAATCAAATATATTTCTTGAATATCTTGGTTTCTTCAAATGCATGTGTAAATGCCCATTTTTTAATTATTGTTCATTATAAATTGTAATTATTCATGTATTGTGTTTTTTTGTTCTAATGGTGACTCTGATAATTATACATTTGTCAAGAAGAAGGAAGACCAAAAAGGTATTCGTAAAAGATTCACCACCTCAAGGAAAACTAATTTTCTTATTGCAGGTTATGTAATAATTCTAAGTGTGGCGAACATTTAGATATGGATATATGATATACCTACTCAAAGAAAATCACTGTCTTTATATTATTTTGTGTTTTATTATAACTTATACATTATGAAATTGATTTTGAAATATTTTAATTCCATACTTATTTTACATGATTTTCAAAATTAAATCAAAACAAAATATTTGAGTTAAGATCATATAATTATTGTCAACATAAATTAAGGTTGTGAAATATAAAGTGGACATCAAATCCAAAGAATGAGAGGTTTAAGATTCAATGGCTCAATCAAGATTGAATTGTAAGTTGAACCAGATGATGTATAAATATTTAAATTATGTTAATATAAGCTAAATAATATAATAATGGTATTTTAATATTTTGTTATAGATTAAATAAATCATATTTTAATTTAAGACAACACTTTTAAATATTTTAAATCAAAATTTTGACATTTTTTTATTTTTAATTTAGATAACTTATGTGTAGTAATCCGATCAAAATCAAAAGGCTAAATTGGACAAAATTTTAACCAGTTAGCTCTTTAAAATTTGATTTGGTTGATTTGTTAGTCAAATCAATCCTAATTCTAATAGGCTCATTCTCATTGCTATGTAGAAATGATTATTAGTTTGGACTTAATCGATTGAATGACTGGTTCACAATTAAATCAGCCACTGTAGCTGGTTTGGTTTAATTGTAAAACCATGGCATAAATTGTCATTTTTTAATAATACAAATTAGAAAAATAAATGGTAAAAGTTTGCTAAAAGAGTACTTTTTAATCTTAGAGCAACTTAACTCACCTCCCCACTCCCTTATTTTAAGCTTGCATGAACCAATAATTGGTATCAAAGGCTCACTCTATACTAATTGGCTTCACATCTAAAAAGTGGTATCTAGGATTTATGCATCGAATTTTCTTACTAATTTATTATATCATTTGATCATAATGTGAGAAAATTGAATAAAGTTCACTCCACAATACAATCACTACTATTTAATGACATTCCTTTTAATTGTTAGAAAATGGATAATGATTTATTGATACTCTTGTGATATGAGAAGTTGTAAACATTATTTTGAAAGAATATAACGCTCTTTTAATTAGATTGCAAAAAAAAATTCCTAAACCAATAAAAAATTAAACCCCTGTTGAGCTTTAAGCTTACTTGAAAGCAATTGGGTAAATTCTTTATTTTGTACACTCAAATATGATGACTATATAGATATATATAATCAAGAATAAGAAAAGAAATTTGAGATAAGTTGGTTGTTGAGTGTGATCTAAATGATAATGAAAAAACATGAAAAAAGGTTATTTTACATGCTCATTATTTCTAATTATATTATTTTTTGCAGGAATTTTTATAAAAAAATTTTGAGCAAAGAAAATAAATTTCAATTGTAGCACCTTAATGTTATCTATTCAACATTGTAGTGATATATCCAATAGGAAAAGTGACAACGAATAAAGTGCACCTCAACGTCATCCCTGTAACATAATTACGCTATGTTTAGCACCTTAACACTGGATGTAAAGCTCCTCAATGCTAGTAAGGAGAAATATTTTCTAATAAATTTTATAACACAATGCCATAAAATTAATTTATCAAGAATAGAAAACTTCTTGATAAAGAGAAAGGCATCTAAGTATCATACTTCAGAGCATCAAAGCATAAGAAATAATATAATTCACACATTAAAATAGAGGACTTAACACTACGATGCTACAAGTAGGACTAGAGTGCTAGTATCTTAGCATTGTTGTAAGATGCTCCAAAATATCAAATTTTGAAATAATTTTCAAGCTAGTTGTTGCAGTTACTAAGATAGGTTGAGAAGTTATCATTTGGGCCCCACTTGCTATAAATATATGGTGCTAAGAAGTTTTAGTATGAGAAGCATACATGTTTTGATGTGGGAAAGCATGCAGAGAGTGAGTAAGAGTATAGAAGAGAGAGCAAAACAGGAAGGGAAAGGATGAAGGAGAACAAATATCATGGGCAATAATCATAAATCTCTTGGATATTTCTTTCCAATTTATTTATAGTTGTAGTTTGTTAAATCTAAAAGGTTGATTTTCTTTTGCTTTTGAGTTTTATTTTGGTGTAAACATGAAATAAGTTGTAGAACTCTAAATTTTTTGTTAAATATACTATTTTCTATTCAATTTGCATTCTTCATACTAAATGATTAAAATTTATCATGTTAATTAAATTTTCATTTAGTTTTTATATTGATCATACACTCACGTCATATTTAGTGTGATCTATTAGTATCAAAAGAGTCATAAAGAAAAAATAAAAATAAATTGACAAATCTTCGAGCAGGATAACATTTATTTAGTACATAAAATTGAAGAATAAATGATTTTAATACAATCAAATTTTCTAGATTATATAGACATGTGATGAGTTTCTGAGATTGGTTAGCTACTCTAAGTTCTTGATAAATATTGTAGAATAAAATTATTATTGTTTGAACTCATGATCTCAAATTCAAATAAGGCAGGAATTTAGTATATATAAGTCACTCTTCTTCAAAAAAAACTAATTAAATAATTTGTTTAGACTTTTTCTTAAATTTAAATTAGTAAAATTTGTTATATAAAATTTATATTATATAAAACTAGCAATTAGCTCAGCAAACCTTGAAGTTTGATCCTCACAAGAATGATATTTGACGCATTTATATATTACATGAACAACATGTGCACCTATGCATACTCTTCAATCTAATCAAGTTTTTAAAATCATTGTCGGGGGTTAATAGTTAATTTTGATTAATTTATTTTAATCCATCTTTTTGTGTTCTTATAATTGTTAAGTGCTTAGTATTATCAAACTTTATTTTTGTTTAGTAATTTATTTACTTAAGCTCTATAGCTTTCTAGTTAATTGTTGATTATCTATTTAATAGTCATTTTGTTAAAAAAATAAAATTCTCATGTATTATTTTTTATTTGTTATATCTTATGGCAATTACTTATTGTCGGTTTTGTTCATGTTTTTGAATTGTTTTAGCCAGGTGATATGATTGTAATATTTTTAATCACAAGTGAATCCAAAAGCTTTTAAAGGGGGGTCACAAATTTGCTTGTATGAGTAGAAGTCTGAATGAAATTACTTTTAGTTTATATTAAATGATCAGATTGATTCTTATTAATTATTGTTTATTCTTTTCATCAAATTAATATTTTTAAAATATAATTTTTTTCAATCTAAAAAAAATTAATTGGGTAAAAAATGATTTCAAATTATTAAACTTTTAAATAATTTAATATGTAAATAATTAATCAAATGTGCTATATATATTATATAATATTAAATTTAATAGATTGAAATTTTATTTTTTATCAAAAATTAAATTAGAGAATTGTCATTATATTTTGTTTTCTATTAAATGTTTTTCAAAATAATCCCAAATTTATAGTGAAATTTTCATGATGCACATTATTTTACTTAAAAAATAACAATTCATTTTAATGAAATTTGATGTCAATTTTAAAATGAATAAATTACAATTTGGTTTTAATTTTAAACAAATAAAAAGAAGTTAAGTGATTAAAGATCTTTTTTATTATATAATAATTAATTAAATTAAAAATTAAAAAAAATTAAAATATGCGAAGTAAAAAAAATGACTTTTAAAAAATGAAAATGATAATATTTTTTTATGTTATATGACATATTTGAGCAATATAAATATAGGAAGTAAAAATTTACTTATACATAGAAATTGGATGATATATTCCAATGGTCTGGTTCTCAAAGATCTAGGGGTGTAAACGAACCGAACACGAACGAACAAAGCTTTTGTTTGTGTTCGGTTTGTTTGAAATTTAGTTTGTTTGAAATAAACTCGTGTTTGAAATTGTCTATAAAGTCACTGTTCGTATTCGTTTCATAACGAACAAGCCGAACACGAGCCGAACATGAGCTGTTCGTGAACGACGAGCCAGTTTAACATCCCTAATATTAAGATATATAATTAATATATTATATTAATCATATAACTTACATTATATAAATATATAATATTTATATTAGTATAATACTAATATAGTATATTAATATATTATTATTATTAATTTATTATATATTATAATTTATAAAATTAATTTTTTAAAATATCATAAATTTTTTATATATAATTATTTTAAATTATTTTATATTTCGAATAATAATGATTCGGACGCGAATAAGTTTAACTAGCCAAACTAAAAATAAAAATATTCACATTCTTCTCATTTGCGTATCAAACGAATGGAACAAGAACCGTTTGACAGCAGAGTGCGATCTGACCGACCAAAACTATATCATTAAAAATAAACAATTAAAACGCTCTCTTGAAGTATAGATTTTTCTAGTTTGTCGTTCGCCGATTCTACGGTGTGCCAAACGCACGGGAAGCGCGGAGGGAACCTCTCTGGTCGGAATACTTCGCGTCAAATTCTTTGGGAGGATGGCGATGAGGGATTTGGTTACCGGCGGAGCGGCTTGCGCCGTCCCCGGTAGCTCATCATCCTCGAACCCCTTCGGAGCCCTTGCGAACGCCATTCTGGGATCATCCAGGAAAGCCCAGGTGCTGCTTAGGTTTTCCTTATTTCTTTTAATATTTATTTGGGAATTTGGATTTGCCTCGGATTTACTTTTGCCCTTTATGAGCAGTAAAGTGGTTTGCAGTTCTTTGTGTAATTTTGTTATAGTTTTGTTCAATTTATTTTTATTTTGTATCTGAGTATGTGTACTTATTGTGGTTATTTCTATTTCTGTGTTGACTATGTGAGTTTAGTTGTTGAATACCAGGAGAAGTTTCTTATCCCGGGAGTTTTGTAGTTTTCAGTTAGTTGAAGAGCATTTGCATAAAATCAACCAGAAAAAAATGGAAATTTTAGCTTGCTTTGATGGTTGGAGCTCTCAGGTGAAGGATGGGATGCTTGAATTAGCTGCGTGTGTTAAAAAAGCTATGCATTCTAACCTTAGGGGATTTATAGTAGCGAATTTAAGTAGGATTTAACTTAAATATTGCTCAGGGACTTTATGGCATGGTCGAGCTACAGCCGGAGCACCACCCGGACCCTTGGAGATGATCGCCACCTATGATGAGTTACAAACAGAGCAGCTCCTCGCCATCAGAGGAAGAACGCCTCAAAGTCAATAAATTGAAATATGGAATAATCAAAATTGAAGCCTAACACTATGAATAAAGTATTTATAATAGGGATTAGTAGTAAGAATAGGTAATGATCATAATAAGAAAAAAAAATAGAAAAGGAAGGGCATAGAATAAGCAAGGAGTAAAGTAGGAGAATCATAGAAAAAGGAAAGGGAATAGGAGGGAACCGGAAATGGAAAGGAGTAGGGCTGGACCGCGACTCTATAGTAGCTATAGTACCGCGACGCGGTTAGCTCTCACATCAATCTCCCGGTGTTGAGTGAGCTTCGACTTCATTCGTTGTAACTTCTGACTCCTTGTGGCACTGTGTCAAATCCCCTGGTAGATCGATCAAATGGGCTTTGTCGTTCCAAAACACATTCTGATAAAATATATATCTGTCTTCTTTTAGCGCAACCAAATCTGAAACTGTAGATTGACGAGTATTCTCACGAATCAGATATTGTTCTACTTCATTTGTAAACTATTTCTTCCACTCCTTGTACTTAGCGAAATTGAGCTGATAAATCAGTATGCGAGCAGAAATCAACTCTGGGGTAAAATCTGTGGCAGGCTACGCCACTCTTAGTAGCAACCATTCAGGAGAGACACTTTCTACATTATTATGACTTGGATCCCATTGAAGAGTTTTCTTTCCCATCAAACTTCTAATATAAATTTCAAAGTTGAGTTTCATCCCTCCTATCTGGACATCCGAGATGGGTACCAAATTGAACGGAATCTAACATCTAAATAACTCCTTGAACTATTCTTGACGTGGCACAAAAGAGTCTCATTTCTGACATTCAGGACCTATCTTAGTAGGGCCAACTCAAGGATTAGTCTATATATTTGAAAGGTCTAAATTTCTCTTATTTGGGATTTTCTTGTATCTAATATCATCTCCTCAAACTCATGACCCCTTTGGACATCAAAGATCAGTCATGCTGATGTTCCGCTCAACACCTGCAAAACGCTAGCTGAGACACCATAATCTCGCATGTTGCCTATCAATTACATTAGAGTCACTACCTTCTAGAATAACCACTATTACCTCAAATAGAATCTCTTTCTTAGGGTCAACTGGAATCTCTTTCGTGCGGGTCAACTGGAATCAATTGCATCTCTTCCTTGTTGGCTGAAAATTGAGAATCCTCTCTGAAGTTTGCATCTTCTGAATTACCGTTTATCTCTTCAACTGAAAGTTGATCCTCCTTTATGTTCTTACCGTCTTGAGTATCTACTATGTCATTACTCATTACTCAATTTTTCAAGAACGCCATGCTCAGTGAAACAGATCACCCCCTAATTGTATAGTCTGATTCAACATGCCTAAATCCATGACACATGCAACACTTCCTGGCTGTGACCTAGGGATGCGGATTGTTTCCACCTATTTTCCACTCTAAATCAGTTTTTCCTTAGATGGGATTGTCTTAAGTGTTCTCATGGTGTAGTTTGCCTGTAAGATCTCAAGATTGAACTTCGCCTGTAAGATGACGTGGTTGCTCGGTGATATGGTCTGTCCACTTCTAAAGTTAGGGTTTGAATTTTCTGTCCATTTGCTAACTCTTCTTTCGGCCTCCTATGATACTGGACTACAAAGCGTCGTGGCCAGTCTTCTACATCACTAAAGTCCTCCCGATGGAAATGATTCAAATCCTCCTCTCTGACTCCCCTTCGACTCTCACGATCTCAGTCGAGGTTAATCTACCCTTGGGTTTTATCTTCATTATTCGCAAGTCTTTGCTGAAGTCGACGAATCTCCCGTTGTATCTTTTTCCGGGTAGGCTCGGGTGTGTATCTCCTTGGTGGCATAACTAGGGTTTAGATTTGGGAGATGAAAGAGGATGTATGAAACTAATCGTTGACGTTCAGAATTTGATTTGGGTTGCTGATTTTGAAAGTCAGCACAAGAGAATTAGGGTCGAGTCAAAATGTGGCTAAAACTTGGGAATAGGAAAGAAAAAATTTGGAGGACGCGGCTTGGAAAGGAGCAGATGCTAGGAAGTCCTAGGATAGGACTAGAGTTAGACTAGCTCTGATACCAAATGATACTAGAGTTAACTTAAACCACAATTTTATTGTTGAATTCAAATAAAATGCAATGATGACTCTCAACATAGACAATACCAGCATGCTAACTATCAAACGACAATGACGACTCCAACAAGAATAAAACAACACGAAATAAGAAATAAAATGGTAGAACTCATAAACAACTATCTAAAGAGGAGGGTGGCTGGTCGGCTGGAAAGGAATGGGGCATGGTAGCACCGGAGGGAACCAGAATAGTGTAGGTGGCAGTGTGCTGGAGAAGGTGGGCAGTGAACGGAAGATGACGACGACAGTCTGGACAGTGACCGGAAGATGACAACGACGGTTTTAATAACATCCTGGAGGGTGGACAGGGCTCGAAAGATGATGACGACGGTGTGGACAACAACCTGGATTGTTGATAGCTCTCAAAAGATGACAACGACGGTCTGCACAGCATTTTGGAGGGTGGACAGCGCAGGAAGATGACTACAACGGTCTGAATAACAACCTAGAGGGTGGACAATGCCCAAGAAATGACGATAGCAGGCTGCGGTGGGGATTCGGTAAATATCTTATGAGGGCCAAGCTATAGCCGGAGCTCCACCTTGACCCTTGGAGACGGTCACCACATTAGAAAAGTTAAAACCAGGGTACCTCCTCACAGTTGGATACAACCCTCGGTAGGGGAGAACGCCTCAAAGGCAGCAAATTGAAATCTAGAATAATTAAAACTGAACCCTAACACTATCATCAACATATTCATATTAGGGATTGGTAAATAGAATAGGTAACTATCATAATAAGAAAGAAATATAAAAGGAAGGACATATTATAGACAAGGAATAAAATTGGAGAATCATAGAAAAGGAAATGGATTAGGAGGGAAGTGGAAAAGGAAACGGGTAGGGCTGGACTGCGGTATAGTATCAACTACAGTACCGCGACCCGGGAAGCTCTCACTTCACTAAACCTTTAAACTTAGGTAGGGTTCACTAGACCCACAATCAACTTGTCAGATCGACCTAGCTCTAACAATTGTAGCATAACTACTCGACAACCTCGGAGGAACTAGCAACTTTCTCTAGAATTTACTAGCCGTTTACCAATCCAAGTTCTTAATCTACACATCACTTATATTATAACTAGTAATTGATTGGCTTTGTTTTATTTTTTTTTTTTTTATGATTATAGCTTATTTTGTAGCATTTTCTATATCGCTCATGCTTCGATTCTCGTCTATAATTGGGAGTTGTGGAGGAATTCAAGTTTACGCAATTCTTTGCACTCAATTTCATTTTATCGTTCCATTGCCTCTACTCCATAATCTACTCTTCTTTGAATTTTTTTCTCTTTTTCTCTATGGTAAGTAGTGCTTTGGGATAACTTATGGACAAACAAATCAAGATCCAACATCGCCAAGACTAACAGACGTATTTTACAAATCCAAATTAATTCAACTAATTCCCAACTAATCATGCTAACTCCTCCAAATTGGCCCCATATTATCTTTTGCTTTTCTTTTCTTTCATGTTAACTATCGACTCTTAGGATTGGAATCCCAAATGCATAATACCACTATAAAAGAAAAAGCCCACATAAATCAGAAGTGATCAAGGAAAGCAAAAGACCAATAACCAAAAATCCTAAACAAATGAGGACCCTTTGACAGCTATTTATGGTATTCATCATGTTCCTTAGACCTTTTTGTCTAGTATATGGTACACATAAGTTGTTATAAGGATGTTTACTACTTAGGAGGTCCCATAATAATGACCTTGATGTTGAGGAAAGATGGAAGCGATGAGTTTCCCATCATGAATACTTCATGGCCGTATAATCTCATGTTCTATAGGTGCATAACTACGTCCAAAAGCAATTTCCTAGAAGAATATGCAAAGTTAATACATATAAAACAGCCCAATGCTTATATATATATCCGATGGA